TTAAGAGTTTAAAAATGATTTCTCTAACTTCTGTATTTCGGTATTAGCGTTTAATGGTAGCTGGACAATGGTTTGCAAAGCCGCCTTCCAAGTACTGAGCTCCGTGCGGGACTGGACCCACATGTGTGTTTGTGTTGAGGTGGGAGGTGTGTGTGGAGCTGTACGTTTTCAGAGTGTTGCAAAAGGAGACCAGTTAGTAAACTTGCACATATTTATTGTTATTTGCAGACTGGACACAGGGTTTCAAAAACGTTTTTTTTGTTTTTTGGTTTTTTTGCCTTGTGACTTCTGAAGTGTGTTTCTTTAGATATTTTGATTCTCAGACTTGAATCATCCAAACCCGGCCCTTCTGCTTTGTCTTTGAGTTTGGGGCTTTTGGGCCTGACCCTCCCCCCACCCCGACTCCATCCCAACTCCTCTCGTCCTGCTCGAGGGCATCTCTGTGTAGGAATGGTTCCCATCACCCACCTTGGCCTGTGGTCTCCCTCCATGAGGGGCCGGGCCTCTGTCTTACACGCCCCCCGGTCAGGGTCCTCCAGGCGCTCAGAGCGGCTCTTGGGCTTCTGGGCACCAGGGTTCCCGGTGGGCGTTGGGGCACGGCCCAGCAGGAGTGAATAAAAGCCTTTGCACAGTGGCAGCTGGAAGGTCGACAGCATTCTTCCTTCAACCGATGGTTACAGCCTTTCACTCGCCCAGCTCATCAGTCCCACCCCAATCTCAGGCTGGAACTGAGATTCCAGATTTACTTTAAAATAATTTTAACAGGGGACTTAAACTAAGTGTTTTGCTGGGAAAAAAAAAAGCAAGCAAGCGATAATACATGCGGGGAGCGGATGGGGGGGCAGGGCCCTGTCCTGGTCATGCAGCCACCAGGGCTGGACCATCATCCCAACCCAGGTGTCCCCACCGAAGTGCAGGCACGCCTCTTCCTCCAGCATCTCCGGTCACCTGCCCTCCACATGCACCCACCAATGTGCGTCTCAGCCCCTGACAGGCATCCACACGAGGGCCCAGCCGGGGAGGCTGCGTCCTGCTCCTACGGGCACAGGGGACGTTGCACAGCGCAGCTGGACTCCTGAGCTCCTAGGAAGGTCCGGGCACTGGTCCTGAGAGGCCTCCCGTCAGGAGCCCGTGGCTGAGGAAGCAGAGTGCCAGGAGGCTGGTGCCTAGCAGATCTCCCAGCCCCGTGAGGTAGGGGATGCAGTGGCTGTCCGGGTCCAGGGCCTGGTGCCACGTCAGCCGCACCGCCACTTCCGCCAGGTACAGCAGGACCGTCACCTGTCACGACAAGCCAGCACAGCAGATGCCCACCGTGTAGGCCGTGTCGCCCAGAAACCGGCAGATGGCAAGAGCAGGCGTGAGGTGGGCGTGTTCCCCCCCACAGCTGGCCCTTCGTGAAGGTGCCTTGACCTCTGCTCAGGGCTCAGTCCCTCACCCGGCCAACCCACCCTTCCCTGCCGCTGCCTCCCTGACTGCAGCCAGTTCATTAGCTGGACCCGCTGTCTGTCACAGCAGCCCTTGCCTGGTCCCCTGGTGAGTAGTGTGCGGGCTCGGGTGAGCCTGCAGAGCCTGCGTGCAGCCAGCCACCTGCCGGGCACCTGGCTCGTGCCCTTGCACTTGACTGTATCCTGAAGCCCCGACCCCACCCTCAGCTCTTCCCAGGACGGGGCGTAGCGAGCTGACGTGGCAGATGTGCGTGTGTCCTCACCTGGACCAGGCCTGCTAGCAGGTAGAGCACCACGAAGGTCTTGTCACTGGGGACCGTCGGGCCTTCCACCAGGCGGACAATGTAGAAGAAGAGCAGGTGGCCTGGAGCCGCTAGCAAGAGCAGGACGCGGGCCGACGTGGCGTTGACTTCTGGAGGAGACAGCCAAGGGCATGAGCTGTGGCACGTGGGTCTCCGGGGAGGCGCACGGTCACCCTGCTCCCACTCGGGCGTGCACTGAGCACCTGCAGCAGGAGTGGGTCTAGCGGACGGGGACACGGTCCTGTCACCCCTTGGGGAGCCACCATTTCAGGGAAGAGAGAGAAACCAGAACAGCAGAAATAGAGAGGAAGGTCACGCCTATCCATGACACATCAGGAGGGACATGGAGATCAAAGTGGGGGACGGTGTGCCAAGACCAAAGAGGGGGCCTTTAGGCAGCCGAGACCGTGGCTGTGTGGAGTCCAGCCGAGGGCAGGCGCTGGTGATGGGGACACAGGCCCTGGCTACCCGCTGTCCTCAGGCTCCTGTGCTCCGTGCACTGGAGCTGCCTGGGGGACGTGCTGGGCTTCTCAGGCGGGGGTGGACACAGGTCTCTGCCTGCTACTGAATTAACAGTGTGTTTCATCAACAAATAAGGAGAACAAATCGTAAATAACTAGACGCTAAAATGCAGAGGTGGGAGGGTGCACAGAGTGCCAAAATCTGCTCATGAAATGTTAGATGAGGCCTAATTTTAAAGATTCTTTTCAGAAAACTTACTTAAAAGGGCAGAAGGAAAATAATTACTATTGGCAGCGGCATCAAAGCTCAAGAAAAATTCACAGCAAAACCATACACACAGCAAGAATTCAGTGCAGCGTGTAGGTGTGCTACAAGCCGCAGGTTTGTTCCCTCCCACGTCCCTGTGGATGGTGCAGGAGTGCGGTGTGTGGGAGGCGGTGGGGCTGTGAAGGTGGAGCCCTGAGTGGAGCCGAGCTCTCATGAGAGACCCCGTGGTGTTCCCCGCCCCTGCCCGGGGAGGGCACAACCAGAGAGGACTGGACAGGAGGCTGGCCTCTCCAGGTGCCGGACCTGCCGCTGCCTTGCCCTGGGTGCCAGCCTCCAGCTCTGAGATAAACGCTGGCTGGTTACAGGCCCCCGGCCGTGGTTCTGCTGTGGCAGCCGGGACCAGACGGGTGCTCGGTGATACAGAAAGGATGGGCAGACACCCCATCCTCTACTGCACTAAAATACACCTAAGTGCCAGCGTTGTGTGTAAGACTAACACGGTGATTCCGAGAGGCGGACAGAACAGGGGGGTGAGTCCTGCGCGTTTGTCAGACTGGTGTCGGAGTCAGGACCCAGGAGCGTCAGTGGTCACAGAAAAGAACAAGACGGGCCTGCTCGAGTCCAGGGTCCAGGAAAGGGCCGGCCGAGCAAACAACTCCAGACAGTCGCTGCTCTTCCCGCCACGCATCTGCCTCTGCCAGCTGCCTCCCGGCCCAGGTTGGATGAGACGCCCCCTCCCTCCCAGCCAGATGGCGGCAGAGGAACTGGGCTTAAAACAACAAAAAGACAAAGCGCCCCGTTGGTCTCCCCGGTGCTCAGAACACACGGCGGTGCCTGCCTCCAGCCTCAAGGCCCTCGGGACTAGCACTTCCTGCCTCAGGGCCTCTGCTTGCCTCCCAGGGACTTTCTGCCCCAATTAATGCCTCCTGGACACTCGTCCCTGCACCCACGTTTCTGCCTTTCCAGCAGTCCCCGTCTGGAGTTAAAGCTGCTTTGCTGCGTGCTGGTCTGGCCTCCAGGCCCAGACACCCACAGGACAGCACAGCTGCCCCGTCTCACTGGGTGTCTGGGTGGGTGACTGAACCCGCAAGGGCAGCATCAGGAGGAGCTGCTGTGTCTGCAGGACCTCAGATGTCTACTGCTGTAGACGCCAGGTTCCAACGATACCAAGTTTTGTTGTCAAAGAAATGGCCACATGGCCTCTGGAAGTCACCGGACCCACCTGAGGTGCAGAACGTGGAGCATGGGTCAGGCCAGAGTTTTTTCATCCAGAGGGGCAGGACCCCGGGCATACTCCACACGTGCAGGTAGGTGGAGACACGGCTGGTCTGAATGGCCACCAGGTTGCCACCAACACCTGCAAGGGGAGAAGGCATCTGGCTTCACACATTCCCATGGCTGGCTCGGCCCTGCTGACCTCATCACGGCAGGCGGCCCGTGTGCAGAGCAAGGCCTGTGGACCCTGCCAGGCAGGCGCTACACAGGGAGGTGGGGCGCCTGGGCCATGAAGCCTGTTTCTGCAGCCCCAGGACGCTGTGCCCCCACAGCCTGGGCTGGGGTCACGTGCGGTTCCTCCTGGACCAGTCGTCCCACTTACAGAGATTTGCCAGGAACCAGACCCGAGCCATGCCTGGGCAGAAGGGGGCCTCACCCCGAACGCCCACAGGGTCTAAGCCTGGAGGGCCGCCCAGTGACGGGCGGGGAGGAGGCAGTGGGGAAGGGAGGGCGTGGGGGCCAGCTGGACAGAAACGCCCCCTGCCTGCTGGAGTGAAGCAGCGCCATCACAGCCTTGCTCCTAAGGGGCAGGCAGGACTCCAGGCTTCTGTGCATCCGTGTCTGAGCTTTAATCATCATCAGTGACCGTAAGTCAGATAAACGAAAAACCCCAGGAGGCCAGCGCCCAGGATCTGAGGCCACACTCAGCCTCCGGCGTCACTGGAGCGGACTGAGCCCTTCAAGGCCTAGGGCCAGCTCACGGGGATGAGCCGTGGGGCCTGCGAAGGTGGCATGGGCTGGAGGAACAGCAGGCAGGGCTTGTCCCCGGGCCCCTCTGTCTGAGTGAGAGCAGCCCAGCAGCCAGACTGCCCTCCCAGGTTGGGGCTGGGCCGGCCCCGCTCCTGGGAGCCCAGGTGATGGTCGCTGCCACACCTACCGCACACAACGGGAGCAAACACGGCCATGCCTTTGTACTGTTGGCTGGAGACAGTTTTGTTCAAGATGAGGCCTCCGAAGCTGGGGAAGAGACGACCGTCCAAGGAAGGATTTGCACTCGACAGCCACCTCCCCAGCTCTGCACACACTCTCCACCCCACGGTCCCCCCAGGGCCCCTGCCCCCACACCCCTTCCCACCTGTCAAGGCCTGGCTGTTCCGAAACTAGAAACAAACGACAGACCGTCCCCGAGGCCCCGAGGCCGCTCGGGCTGTCCCGAGACGGCCCCTGAGCTGCTCTCGGCAGAAAGGGGAACCTGCCCGAACCGTCCGTTGTACGCCCTCTTGGGAGACACGGCAGTGAGACGGATCACCCAGCCCCTGGTGCTTCTGAAAGCAGAGGCACCTCGACCACAGCTCCTTGCCCGTCAGGAAGGCCTGGGGCAGCCCCATCGGGGTCCACAAGCGGAAAGGGCCCTGAGGACAGGGCTGGCGGCAGGAACGCGGGAGACAGCGTCCACAGAGGCCGGGGTGGGGGCCCGTCTGTGCTTCCCGCCTGCACCTCGGGCTCCCTGGCGCTGTGAGCAGGGCTGCCCCTCGGGATACAGGGAGCTGGGTTCTTGGCGAGGAGAGAGGAAGAGAGGACTCCCATGGTGCCTCCATCCAGACCCCAAGCCCACCCCCTGCCCGGCCGGGGGCCCCGCGTACCTGCTGATGACCATGGCCAGGACGATGGGGACCCACCCAAACTTGAGGACCTTCAGGACGGGTGGGCTCTGCCGGGCGATGAGGACCCACAGCGGGGTCAGGGCCGCGAAGCCCCCGCAGACCAGCGGCGTCAGGTACCGACTGTCTGGAGGGGAAGGAGGGAGGGGTGGTGGGCGGGCCCCAGGCTGGGAGTCAGTGGGGGGAGGCCCGAGCAGCTTGGAGGGACCTCCTCCCACACCTGCCAAGGAATCCCACCTCTCCTACTCAGTTCCCACCACGTCTGTCCCCCTTTGCTTCTCTGACTTGGTGGTGGCTTTCCTGACACAAGCCCTCTCCTCTGCCTCTTGTCACCAGTCTTCTTAACGGTTCCCCCGGGGAACTGGGACTGTGCTTGGCACCTTCTGTGCCCGAGCTCTCGTCTGTTCCAGCAGCTGCTCAGACAGGCCTGGGAGGAGGTGTCCCGAGCAGGACACACCACCAGCCCTGCTCCTGGCTGAGGCCGCCCAGGGTGCCTCCTCGGTGCCTGTTTCCCCCAGGCCGGGACTTCGGCCAGCTCTGCACCTACTCACGTCCCTGTGTCTCCTGCTCCGACCGCTGAGGGCCATGAAGGCAGCCTCGGTCTGGATCAGCTAATGGAGCCTCCCATGGTGGGCCCTGCCACCCCGACCCCGAGCAAGAGGCGCTTTCTCCAGAACTGTCCCCTCCCTCCCCCTAGCCACGCCACCGGAGCAGCTTGGGGTGCCCGGTCTGCACACAAAATGTCCAGGCCTGGGTGTCCCCCTGCCCTTCTCTGCAGGGCACAGCCCTGGTCTGTCCTTCCGCCCAGGCGGCAACCCCAGGCAGGAGGCAGCCCCGCAAGCCTCAGCAGGTCCCCAGCGCCCTGGGCGCTGCTACTCCCAGACACTCTGTGTCTGGTCCCGTGTCTCCAGAACCACCCGGAAGCCCGTGCTCTCCCACAGGCTTGGCGACAGCCGACGGCTCACCCCTCGTCAGGACTTCTGACTCATGCCTGTCCCGGGCACCCAAGTCCCCCGAGATAAATTCCCAGTCTAACGGGAGGGACAGATGACCCAGCAACGGTTCGACATCCAGGGAGTCGTGTGCAGAGCCGTGGGCTGAGCGGGTGGGGGCGGGGGCCCGTCGGGCTGACTGGGCCACGGCAAGGCAGTCTTCCGTGAGGTTCAGTTGTTTGAAAGACGAAATCAGGTCCTCTTGTGATCAGATCTGTGTTGCCACTCACAGGAAGTCTCAGAATTCCCCAAACGGCCCCTTTCTGCTCTGCAGATGACTCTGGACAGCAGGAGCTGGTCACAGAGCCAGGGACAGTCAGCCAGACAGGGGCTGGTCCTGTCACCACATACAATGGGGTGATGCCTCAAGCCCCCGGGGCCATGCTGTCCACGCCACCCACTGAGGCTGCGGCCGCACTTGGAGTCACGCTAGATTCCCTACAGCCGTGGGCAGCTGTCTTGCTGGGACCATGCCCGGTGGGAGGCCAAACGTGCGGCTTGGAGGGGAGCGGCCAGCTGGGGCAGAAAGCCAGCAGCAGAGCCATCAGTGAGGGCTCCTGCGTGTGCACAGCATCTGGGCGTGAGCCGAGCTGTGTCCCCCGGCAGTCCTGGGCGACCTCTCTGGGGAGGGGCCTGGCCACGAGGTCTTGTTTCCGTAAGATAAGCCAGCGCCTCCTCTGGCCGGGTCACGGGGCCACCTTCTAAGGAGCATGGCCTCCCCTACCTCTGTGGCTGTGACACTTCTGCCAGTCACCGCCTGGGGCTGGTACGTGTCCAGTATGAACTGTCCGCCCCAAGGAGGCACTGTCACCTTCCGGGGCGCCCAGACCAGCCCCAGGCCCTCCCTGGCCGCCTGGAGAGCCCATCGGAGCTGGAAGTTGGTAGCTGGTGTCTGCACCCTCCACACCTGCCCACACGGTGGGGATGCCTGCAGCCCTACCCCATCACCTAAGGCCTCGCCTGAAAAAGGATTTCTGGCCTCGACAGACCCTGCTGGTTCCCTCCTGCAGGAGTGGTGTCCAGCTGGAGAGTCACGGGCTGGTGCAAACGTCCCCAGCCCCCCAGCCCCCCGGGCTCCCTGCCGCGGGCCCTACCTCTGTGTTTGTAGAAGAAGCTGCTGACGAAGGCCAGCAGGGACAAGGTGATGAGGTCCCCCAGGCTGGCCGCGATGGGCGTGGCAATGTTGTCCGGGTTGACCCCGAGCTTTCGCGCTCCGATCACGATACAGACCATCAGCACTCCTGTGAGGAGGGGGAGCAGTGGTGAGTGGTGGGGGTTGGGGGTGGGGCTGACGCCAGGCGCCCCTCCTGGTCTCTCCTGCCCCCCGGGGCTGGGAGCTGCCCAGAAGCTCTGACAACCTGAGCCACTGGGGAGACACAGGCAGGTGGTTCTGGGCCCTCGAGCCCCTGGGAACTACAGGCGTGAAGCCCATAGCCCCCACAGCTGGGAAACTGCTCCGAGCAGTGGGAGCCAGGACGGGAGGATCCGTGACTGCCGGGTCCTTGGGAGCAGCGGGCCTGCGGGAGACTTCCTGGGGCAACGCCTGGGAGGGAGACAGCAGGGGTGGGCCTAGGGTCCGGGGGTGGGGGCAGTGCGTGTGGGGCGGCGGTGCGGAGGCTCCTGGGCGGCAGGGAGAGGGGGCCCAGCACGTGGCCTTGAGTGGGGGAAGGTGCCCCGGCTGCAGACCCAGGCCCCTCCTCGCAGCCACCGCACCTGCTCCCAGCCCCCACCCGCTGCCTGGGACCAAATCTAACAGCATCTCGCGCGACCTTTAAGAAGACATTTCATATCTTGGCTGCTGTTTTAACCCATGACCCAGGTTCTGTAGCTCTGAAAACAATCAGAATCATCACCTCAACAATCGAGAGCTGCGGCCATAGTCTGTGCCTTTCTGCGGCCAGGTCATAGACACTTTATTCCTCAGAAACATCTGTTCTGAGTCAGCCCATCCATGTGGCCGAGCCGGCAGTCTGGGGACAATCCCGCAGGGGCTCGCAGGTGTGAGAGCACTGCCGCCCGACCACCTGGCTCAGACAGGCCACGGTCCCCCCGTGACCCACGGCCACGCTTCCTGACTCCACCACCTGTGGACAGTCCCAGCCGTGTCCCGGACACAGAGCTGCTTCCAAGCCCTGGGTGCGTTTCCTCATCTGAAATGGGGGCTGGGATGGCGTCTCTGCCAGGCGCACCCGCAGGGGCAGCACAGGCCGTCGGGGGACTCGGCGCCACGTGTCTCCTGGGCTCCGTTCTTCCCGCCCTCCCTCTGGCCAGACGGGCACACCCCGCCCAGGGAAGCAGCTCTGTGAAACTTACCCTCACCCTCCCTCCCAGTCCCGGCTTCCAGCGGCTCCCACCAGATAACCCCCTGCATTCAGCTGGGGGACAGGAAGGCGGACACGGGCCAACAGTCACCCTCTTCCTCTCACACGGGGTTTGCAAGACACACACAGACACGTGGTCCAGGGAGAACCAGGGCAGGGCCGTTCGCTCAGCAAACGTTTGGGAGCCAGTTATGGGCCTGGGGGTCAGTGCTGACCGTCACCGCAGCCCTGCACTCACCCCAAGTGCCTGCCGGAAGGAGGGACAGGTGGCCCAGGAAGTGAGACAAGCACGTGACATGAACAAATGGCAACCAGAGTAAAGCGTGGCTGGGAGCGGGGCCAGGGCACCAGGTACCCAGAACCCCTCTCACGCTCACGCCCCGAGGCCTCCCTCGGAGACAGAAGCGAAGCACCCCAGGCCCACCGGGCAGCGTCCCCCACGCGGAGCAGGGCCTGGCTCACAGAGGACGCTCGGTGACACCAAGAGGTGGACGAAGCGCAGTGGCCATGGCTCCCCACTCACATGCGTGACGCCCCCCCGGAGCCAAGGCCCCCGTCCTCCGCCCCAGGGAACACGCGGGCGCATCTGCTGCGCCGCAGGGGGTGGGCATGGGGCACATGGGGCCGCCGCCCAGGGGCTGACGTGTCGCGGGAGGTGACACAGGGAACAAATGAGGTGACTTAGGGTCTTCACGAGTACCCTGCAGGGAGCCAGGAGCCCTGGAGGGTGGTAGCCGCCGGGAGGAGGCAGGCTGGTGGCGGCACCAGTAGCGGCCAAGGAGGGGGCGCCTCAGCTGAGAGCCAAGCCTCGCCCATTGTCCACAGACCTCACAGGCCGTGCCCCAGATCTACAGACCGACCAAACCGACGGGTGTGTGCCCACACCCTCCTGAGGCCCTGCTCGCCGCCTGCGGTGCTGTGAGCACCCACAGGGTGTCCTGTCCCGGGCAGGGTGCCGGGGCTGCCCGGTCTCGTTCCTGAGGGGCGGGGTGGGGCGGGGGCACAGCTCACCCAGGGCGAAGGCCGCCAGGAAGGCGGCGAGGACACTGCTGGCGCACAGCACCTCTGCCGTCGTGAGGTCCAGTTCCTGCCTGGACACGGCGCCCAGCAGCAGGGCAGCCCCAGCAGCCAGGAGCCCCACCACGGTGGCCTGCACCTGCAGAGAGACCAGAGATGTGAGCCTGGGGCAAATGAGCGCCCACACCCCCACCTGGTCCCCGGGGGCTGCCCATGGTCCTTCAACCACCGGACGGGACTGTCAGGGGCCACAAGGAGGGCTCTGGGACCCTGAGAGTGAAGGGGGCGTCCTCCTCATCTGGACAGGGAGGCACACCGCTTCTGTGTGCCCTGTGACCAACAGCGGCCGTCCTGCCAGGCCCGTCTGGTGGCAGAGTCCAGCCGGAGAAGCCCAGGAGGCTCTGGACACACACACTTTGTGTCAAGACCCACGCCCAGCCTTCCCCGACCTGAGCCGTCTTCCCAGCCTCAGGGCTCCTGCTCCGTGACTCCCGAGACCCGCAGGGGAGCACTGCATTCAAGGGGGCACAAGTCCGACACTAGGGAAAAGGGGAGGGTCTCCTAAGCTGGAGGAGGAACTGTGTGGGGCCATTTTCCAGGCAGAAAGGACAAGCAAGCCCCCACATCCGGGGAGGTCACGGGTAAGCAGCCGTGAGGAAGGGAAGTCAGCAGATGCCGGTGAGTCTCTCGTGCCCCCACGGCCACAGTGGGCGCCGGCCCCGCCCCCGAGCGCTGGCTCAGGCTGGAGCAGACAGGCTCACGCAGCCTCCACCCCTGCAAGCCGGCGCCGGCTGCCCGCGGACTCGGGGGGGGGGGGGGAGTCGTCTGGAAGAAGGGAGTCACCTGGATGAGGGCGAGGTTACTGCTGATGACCCTGTGCTGCTCCTGCGGCTCGTCGAGGTGCCCCACGTTGGCCTAGGAGAGGAAGGAGAGGGCACAGGCTGAACTGGGCCCAGGCCAGGCCAGCACTTCCCGAGAGGCGCCTCAGGAGAAAGCACAGCTCCCATACAGGGACTCGGGGCAGGAGAGGCGGGGACACAGGGGCCCCTGAGAATCAGCCGGTGTCCAGGCCAGCTCCTCCCTGACAGGTGTGCGGGCACACAGGTGCCCACACGTGGCACACAGGCGCACACACGCGGGCACACACGTCCCTGACCGCCTTGGCCATCCCCCGTCTGGCTGGCCCGCGTCCTCCCGACACTTGCAGTTCCCTCCTCCCCCACCAGCGAGTCCCATCCCCAGTGACCACCAACCACTCAGCCTCACCTCTGCAGATTTACAAAACACACGTGAGTCCCTCTTCTCTTGGGATAAAAAAGAAAGACCAGAAACATGACTTTCTCCTTCAAAAATGGTAGCCGGCTCCAAACACTGAAGCACTGCCAGCAAAATCCAAGATGCAGCTCAGGCAGAGGTTGAACCCAGCACGTTCTGTGGCCCCTGGATGGAGCTCGTGAAGTCCCTGAACTCCAGGGAGGACACGGGGCGACTTTTCTCTGCACCAGCAGAGAGAGGCTTCTTGTCTTTGGCATGACGGACGCCTGGGACACGTACCCGTCCCGAGGCCCTGGCTGACCCTGACTTGGTGCAGGGGGCCCGGCGCCTGCCTCAGGTGTCTCCTGGAGCGAGGACACAAGGAGGAGCAGAGCACGGCCAGAGCCACGTGGGCCCCACGCCCAGTCTCCCCTCCACCCCGCAGACCCCAGGACCCGTGTGTGGTTTCTGTCAGTCACAACGGCCACGCTGCTTTGACAGCATGCCACCGGTCAGGGGTTACTGCCACCCCAACCCGACTATGAAGCGGAGAGGTGTTCCTTCCTCAAGGATTCTCACTTCCATCGGCTCATAAGACAGAACAGATGCACAAATCTACAACCCGCACAACCACTTCCTCCACGCAGAGGGGGCCACTGGCACCAGAGGCACATGACCGAGTTGAGGCTGAGCAGGAACGGGGGGGGGGGGCGTGGGGGGTCTCACAGAGGGAGAGCGTCAGAGGGAAAAAGCTGGGGAAGAGGTGGGGGTCGACGACTCAGATGTCAGAGCGTCCGGAAGTGTCTCTAGGCCAGGGTGGAGACGGACGTGGGGGCCGCGGCAGGTGACGCTGGGAAGCGTGGGTCTGGATGAGTGGCCCACATGAGTGCTGAGACCCTCCAGGTGGCGGTGGGGTCTGGTGTGGAGAGAAGTCCATCAGGGGTCCCTCACCCAGGACCATGAGGTCTCACGGAGCTGTGAAGGCGGGGAGGAGGGGGCTGGCCAGGAGGGTAAACCCCAGGCCGGAGACCCTGAGGGGCAGGTCACCACTAAAGTGGGGGGAGTGTCCTTACCCCAGAACGGTGCCCCAGAGATGTCAGCATGGGAGCTGGTGGCGCGAGGCTGTCCCAGCACAGGCCAGCTGTCTTCAAGCAAACCAGCTAGAAGCTGGTGCGTCCTGGACTGACCCTGGCCCATCTCAGCAGAGGAGGCTGGCAAGGCCCTCCTAAATGTGCACTTGGACCAGATACACGTGAATGTCTTTCGGTCTCTCTCAGTGATACCACGGCTGCATCGACAACCCCCCTTGCCCTGTTGCTCCTGGGAGGCGGGGACCCCTGGAGTGGAACCAGTAGCTGGTGGAGGGCGAGGAAGGGCTGTATCCTTCCCCTCCTGCTGGGCAGGGGCTGCGACCCCAGCTCAGCCACATGCCCCCCTCCATTCAGCTGCAGCCCCGGTTCTGGGAGCCCCCGCAACCCCCCACTGACAGATGGGATGTGAGAGGACGGTGCTCTCGTAAATGACGAGACAATCTGAAATTCCAAAGAGCGCAAACTCGACCTACGAATTTAAAATAAAACACAGCAGGTCCCTGCTCCTCATTAGACAAGCTGAGCAGTGCGGCAGGGGAGACGCAGGGGGACCCAGTGAATGAGCAGCCAAGGAGCATCTTCCCAGAACGAAGCACCGCTGGACAGGAACACGGACAATCTGAAGGTCAGCTCCTCAGAAGGCAGATCCAGAAACTGCCACGTGCAGTCAAGCTCGAGAGGACGAGACCACAGATGAGTATCAGAACCTCAGAAATTGTCAAGCGCGGGACTTTCGCGGAGCTGCAGACAGGCAAGTGTCTTCAGATTGAAAAATCTAAGACATCTGTGAGGATTAACAGTCCACTCCAGGAATATCCTGGTGAAATTTCAGAACACGGATAAAACATTGGGAAAAAAAAAGTTCAGACAGAAGGATAAAATAAAACAAACAGATGACCTGAAAGAAATGAAACTCAAAAAGACATGAGGCTTCCGTTCACAACACTGGGTGCAGAAGACACTGAGAACACTGCACGGTCGACGGGGAGCTGCTGTGAGCAGAGCCTCACCGGCCGGGTGGTTTCAGCTGTGAGGACATGGGGCCTGTCCCCCAGCTCCCAGCACGTCCCACCTGACACAGGTGCTGGAGGACACACAGGCCAGGTGAGAGTAAACTCAGAAGGAAGCCCCAGGGGTGACGCCAGCCAGGCTGGGGCGAGGGCAGCGAGAAAGCTCCAGGGGAGGTTTAAGAGCCAGCTCAGGATCCGCAGCAGCCAAGCAAACACCCCACCAAGAAAAAGCCACACTCAAAATGGCAGGAAATGTGGCATTTTGTCACCCCTGCCTGCAGGGACAGCAGGAGCTGCCCAGCCCAGGGCCTCCCGAAAGAGGGGGCTTGTGTCAACACTCTGGCTGGTCGAGGGGCTCCCAGGAGACCAGACTGGAATGGTGGCACAGTTCACATCAGGCTGGGACAACACAGGCACAGTCCTGAAAGGAAAAACTGTCCACCAGCAATTCTGTATCTGGCCAAACTGTCCTTTGAAAATGAGGGTGGACCTGAGACATTTCTAGATGAATGAAAGCTGACAGAATTCATCAGAATGCAGCCAATGCCAAAGAGGGGTCCTTCATGTTAAAACGGACGGATGACAAACAGCAACTCAGATACACATTTAAAGATGTAAAGTTCTCCAGTAAAGGCAAACACACAGCCAAATATAAAAAGCTGCATGCTGTAAGTTTGGTGCATAACCCCACTTGTATTCCCTTACAGGGTTTAAAAGACAGAAGAATAAAAAGATCATGAGTACATAATATATAATATGTACTTCGTGACATCAATAGCATAAGGTGCGGGGGCAGAGCTTTAAAGGAGCAGAGCTTTTGACTGTAAGTTGGTATGAGTTTAAAATAAAATAGATGATTGTAACATCAGGATGTTACGTGGATTTCCCATGGCAACCACAAAGCAAGTGGAATCTATCGAATATACACAAGGAAAATGAGAACTGAATCAAGGCCTGTCGGTACAAAAAAACAAACTCATCAGAAAGCCAGCCAGGGAGGGAAAAAGGGGAGAAAAGCTCTAAGACACACAGGGAGCAAGCGCCGAAACGGCAGCTACTCATCCTTCCCCACCGCTGAGTACTTCAGATGTTCGTAAGTTTCCCAATCAAAACCATAAATTGCATAAAGCAAGCATCAGAGCTCCTAAACACCGGAACCATCGCTGACAGAGCTGAAGGGAGAAGCAGCTCTGCAGTGACAGGGGGAGACTTCACCCCCCACTTTCAGGAACTGGTGGAACCACCAGACGGAAGGTCAGTCGGAAGTGGAGGACATGAACGTGCTGCAGACCAACTGCACCCCACAGACATACACACAGCACTCCCCCCAGCAACAGCGGGATACACGCTTTTCTCAAGCACACCTCTGGAACGCTCACTGAGAAGGAAGCGAAGTCTCAAGTCAGCAACCTAACTAGAGAAAGAGCAGACTAGACCCAAAGCCAGCGGAGGAAGGAAATAATATTACAGATAAGTAAAGTACAGAAAAGGAAAACAACAGAGAAAATCAACAAAACAGATGCTGGTCCTGAAAAAATATCAACAAAATGAACAAACCTTACGCCAGACTGATTAAGGGAAAAACGAAAAAAATTCAAATAACTAAAAGCAAAAGTGAGAAGTCTTTATTACTGAATTCACAGAAATCAAGAGGATTATTAGAGTATTTTAATAACGTATGCCAACAATTTGGACAACGTAGATGAGACAGATAAATCCTTAGAAACACAATCAACCAAGTCTAAATCATGAAGAAACAGGAAATGTGAACACACCTACGACTAGTAAGGAGACGGGGCTGATAATCAAAACCCTGTCAACAAGGAAAAGCCCAGGGCCAGACGGCTATACTGGTGAATTTTACCAAACTTTTAAAGAAGAATTAACACTGCTTTTTCTCAATTCTTCCTAAACAATTGAGGAGGAGGGAACATTTCTAAACTTACTCAATAATGATAGCTTTACATCAATACCAAAGACAAAGATACTATAAGAAAAGAAAACTGCAAAGGAATATCCCTTATGAATACTGACCCAATAATCCTCAATAAAACATTAGCAAACACAATACAAGGGCACATTAAAATTATTAGATGCCACGACCAAATGAGATTTATTCCTGGAATGCAAGGATAGTTCAACATATGAAAATTGATCAATGTGATACACTCCATTAAAATAAAGGACAATAAACCACATGATCATCTCAACTGATACAGAAAAAGCATTTAACAAAATTCAACTTTTCAAAACATTCAACAAACTAGGACTAGAAGAAAATTACCCCAGGAGTGCCAAGATGGCGTAGTAGAAGGACGCTCTTAGCTCAGCCTCTCCCACAAATATGCCAGGAGAGACATCCATGGACCCACCCACTCACTCAGAACACCTGCTGATCTTTGACAGAACATTGCTTCCTTCAGAAGACAAAAGTCCTCACAAAATCTGCCAGGAAGGGAAAAATGAAGACGACAAAGGAAGTTAGTGCAGGACCTGTCCTGTGGGGAGGGAGAGGCAAAGAAGAAATAGTGCTCTTATCCTGGGATGTCCCCTACAACAG